AAAAATTCTAGGATTCTACATTATTCTATTTTCTAGTGCACACAAAATTTTCTAGCATCTTCAAAACAGTTACAATTATCTTACTTTCTATTAATACATAGTAAAATATTCCCCCTCCATTACTCCTTGTGCTTTTATCAAAATTTCTTTAAGATTATATTTTTTAATTAATTTAAATGCAAGGTCTCAAGGAGGTGGGGGGTGGGGTGTGCGCTTGAGCACAAACACAAACACGGTGCCTCTAATTTCCTTAAAATGGAATTAAACAATCTCAGGAAAAAAGAAGAAAAAAAAAGAATACCATAATGCTGAAACCAGCAGTTGATTTCCTATAGTACCTGGCAAGTCTTCAGACTTAGGTTCACTAGATCGCCTGACAATTAAGCAAATCCCTTCAGGAGTCAGACCCGGTATAAACCTGAATCTGCTTGTCACCAGCTGTACAATCCTGGACACGTTCCTTCACTTGTCTGAGCCTGACTTTCTTCATCCGTTAACTGGGATGCTATCATCTCATGGAGCTGTTGTAATAAGAAAAGGAAGAGTTGTTTGTAAAGTGCTTAGCACAGTATGTAGCCATATAAAAGCACTTAAATGGTATATTTTATCGCTTGGTTCGCTTGTTTCCTAGAAAATTAGTTTTTACATATAATCACACATAATTAACTCTATTCCAATATTCAGACATACGTATGTTGGCGGATGCCTTGGAGAGCGTTCCTTTAAAATCAAACGCCTTTCCCCCAAAGGGCCGGCACCTGGCACCCCGCCCCGTCTTCCCTTATTTTCATCCCAGGCCCACCTTCGCCCCCTCCATCCACCACGGTTCGGCCAACTTCCCTCCATCACCCTTAACACCACAGCTCGCCTTCCCAAACGCACAACCACCTGCTAAATCTTCTTTCCTCTTCCCTTACCGGCCTCTGCCTCCCCCTCGGCCCACTACCTCCCTGCCTTTGCGGGGCCCTTCGCGGGCAGCCCCGCCGGCGGCCCCGGCGATGCGCGTGTAGTGGGGGGAGCGGGAGGAGGGTCTCATCTTCTATTTTCAACGCCCGCACGGGACCGGGGAGGGGCGGCATTTCCCTCCAGAGCGCCCACCGCGCGAGGCTCATACTCACCCGCCGCCGTCGCCGCGACTTCTGTCCACGGCGCGGAACCCGGCGCTCGCGGAACCCGGCGCCCGTGGGTACTTGGGGGCGAGGCGGGGACCTGCAGGGACAGGGGCGAGGCAGAGCTCTTCCTGTGGTGCCTGCGCAGTAGCGGGCGCGCGCCGCGGCGCACGGCCCCCGCCGCCCGGAGCTCGGCGCTGCTGGGGGGAGGGGCGCCCTCCGGGTGTGCGCAACCGCAGGGCACGCGACCGCGGAGCCGGCTCCGAGCCGGCTGGGACCAGGCAGCGGAGTCTGAGACACGTCCTTGCATTGGGTGCCGGAGCCAGCGTTGAATGTAATTTCCTTTCCGATTGGTTAGACAGGTGCCTTGGGGAGTCGCATTGGACCTCGGGAAGAGGTTTGTTCCTTTCTCCCACCACGCCCGTCTTATCATCCTAGATCTGGATGCCTTTCAGGGGACCTGAAATCCGGCCAGTCCCGGAAAGGCCCCTGGCAATTCCCAAACCGTTGGCCTAGTGCCACTCCCTAGTTAATGTGCACCTGGCGACTTAGGTGGCCACGGAGAAACCGACTTTGGCTGCACCCGGGTCCAGCGCAAGTCAGCCAGTTCCAGTGAGTTGGGATAAGTACACCGTGTATCTACCATAGCAGTCTGTCTGTCTGATTGGATTAGTGAGCACCTTTACATGCGAAATTTACAAGTAAGGTTAACAAACAAACAAAAACAAAAAAGAACACAGTCCCTGCGACAGGCAATTAGTAATGGGTTACAGCTGAGAAATGGGAACTTCTTTTGGCAGATGCATATGTGGTATTGTCCTCCTGCCTTTAACTAGAAGATTAGTCAGACAGTCGAATAATGTAACTTTTAACTTTCTAGCAGAAAGAGAAATTAACAAACAGAAGTAGATTTATTTGTTAACACTTGGGTTGCCCAGGCACACTTGGCAAAGAGAAGACATTATTTTTTTTCTCTTTGTATCTGTAGCACCAAACACAGAACCTGGCGTAGAGTGGAACGTTTTAAGGTGTTGCAAGTTCATTCTCCCCGTACTCTGTTAAAATGCAAGCTCCAGGAGAATATATTTTTTTCTTGTTCACGTCTATATCTCCACCAAGTACTCAAAAAAGCATAATTAAATGAATTAAGAATATTAGTCACATGTAATGTCCTCAGGTGTTAAGAATTTAATAGCTGTAAACCCAGTACCTGGATTAGTAACCTGCAGTAGTGGACTGTAGATATTAAAGTCTGTAGTTGGTCCCCTTGGTCTGAGCTTTAGAGTTAGCCATTACCACAAATCTGGAAGCAGTTGTAGAGACATTTGGGGCTAGATGTATTTTGCTACTTATTAGTTTGTGCTTTGATAAATTTCAGTTGTAAGCCTCAAGGCTGGCCTGTGCATTGGTGAATTGGGCCATCTTAGATCCACGGGCTGTCAGAGCTGCTAGAGGTCAGGTAGTTCAATCCCTAGAATCTACCAGACCTGAATTTGAATACTCTACCACTCACCAGCTGAACAGTCATGGGCCAGTGTCTCAACCTATTTGAGTGTCCATTTTCTCATCTGCAAAATGAGGGTTACATTACCAACCTCTTAGGGTTATTGCCATATGAATGAGAAAAAACAAGTAAAGTACTCAGCACAGTATCTGACACATGGTAGGCATTAGCAATTATTATCTTTATGACCAGAAAAATGTTCCCCAATTCGAACAATAGTTAGAGTAAGACTGAGTACTGGAGAAATTTGTATAATGTCCAATTTAGCAGAACTTAAATTTTCTAGCATTCAGGGGATATGATTATACATATCCTGTTTGTTCATTCACTAGGTGCTTAAAGAGTAGGCAAAGTTGACTGCCATATAGGTCAAATGCGTAGTGAAGATAGCAGCTGGATCAGCATCAGGAGAAAAGGGCTCCCTTTATCCACTGCTGCTGCCTGTGTGGCTGGGTCAGATCAGGGAGTCCCATGCAGTCTGAGCTCCTCCTCTGTAAGATAAAATGGTCAAGAACAGAGGGGCAAAATGACACATAAGGACCTTTTGGCGCCAAACTTCTGTTATCTTCCATTTATTTACCGTTTTAACCACAACTGAAATCCTGTTTCAAATGGGCTTAAATAATAAGGATATTTATCATCCTGTGGAACAAGAAGTTCAGAGGTAGGGAAGACTTTAGGCCTGGTTGAACTAGCAACTCAACAATGTCATCATGCACTGGCTTCTTTCTAACTTTCTACTTGGCTTTAACAGAGTTGGCTTCTGGTTCTTCAGTGGTGAAGATAACTACTAATAGCAACAGCTAATAGCAACTACTAATAGCAATGAACCATATGATTCATTTTTCACTTCCACTGGGTGATAGAACTGACTCCCAGGTTTCTTCTCTCTCTCAGAAGCCTCCAGCAACCATCTTCTTCAATCACCTTGGCCAGAATTATGTCACATGCCCTAATCTAAACCAGCAAAGAATATGGAATTACCAGTAGAAAAATTCAGTCCCCACCTCAGCTGAGATCTCTCCCAAACTGCACTTCCTCTTTCAGTGGGAGTCAGGTGATGGAGACCCTAAATACCCTGACTTAATAATTACACATTCTATGCATGTGACATAATTATCACATGTGCCCCATATGTATGTACAAATATTATATATCAATAAAAAAATAAACTAAATTCACAATAACTATAACTAGAGTCTTTTCCTCCATAGGCAATGTCACATTTGAAAGCAACATGTCAGAGGTAGTTTGTTTTTCTCCCAGGAACTAGACTCTAGATTTAACAGTTATTCATTAACACAGTGTATTTTACAAAATCTTATCCTATTTTCAAAATTAAAGACATAGCTCTTTATACAGTTATTTCTCTTTTAAACCCCTAATTGTGATGCATAATTTATTGCTGGCAAGAGTAGGTCAGAAGTTAGAAGTTACAGGAAAAAGGTTTCAGAGCAAAAGCCACACCCTGCCCAAAGACAAACAATTCCTGTCCATTACTCGTCTCTAATTAAACAACAACACAACTGAAACTAGGGAATCAAATTTCAAATCACTAGTATTTTAAGGTTCATTTTTCAATATATATTAGATGTTAAAGAAAACATACTACAAGTTTTACCTTAAATGTAAGAGGGAGAAGGACCTTGTGAACCATAGCACTTTAGTGATTTTGAAAGCTTATTTAACTAAAACTCTCCACCTACTCCATTTTCAGTAAGATTACATTTGAATAATCTCAATCAAGTTAAGATTGTAAACTATTTTTAAATACTCCTTTTAAGAATGATCTTGTATAATCCACAATGACCTATGTAGTGTTAGAATCTTCTCTCTAAAAGAATTTCTTGAAGTACTTAATAAAGTTGCAAAAGAAGCAGTATAAATTCTTCTGAGGCTTTCCTATGTGGAGGGCAATGTGCTCAATTTTTCCAAAGATACAAAACTAAGTAAGATTCATTTCCTGTCCTCAAGGTGCCTCTAATCTAGAAAAGCAAATGGAGAAGACGTTAGTCTGTTGCTTTTGTCTGCCCAGAATTCATTCCTCCTTCTCCTGATGGTTCCTCTTAGAAAGCACCCAACTTTACTGTTAGTCTGTGGGAGTCATATGGGGCTGACCATAACTCCTCTCATCTGCAGGGTGGACTCCTAAGGTGACCAACTGTCTTGGTTTGCCCTGAGTTGAGGGGTTTCCTGGGACATGAAACTTTTAATGCCAGAACAGAAAAGTAACAAGCAAATGGGGGTGAGTTGATCACCCTACTCCTACCCAAGCCTGGCCTATTGGAGCTAATTCTACTCCACTGACCACAGGTATTGATTCAGTGATGGTGACATGCCCGAGACCAGGCCCAAAAGACTCAATACTGAAACTTTTGTGGAAACAATTGAGAAAGAGTCAGTGTTTGAACAGCAATTGCTAAATAAGCAGAATACAAGGCAGGAGCTGCTGGTGGTCATCACTGCCACTGTAAAGGAAAAGTCTGGGTGGGAATGAACCAGCACAGAAGAAAGCAGGGCCAAGAGTTGGAGCCGGACACCTGAGGACATGGAGCACTTGATCCAAGTTTCCCTGAAGCTCCATCCCTGAGCTTTTCGGTTTCCATGACTCAGTAAATTCTCTTTTTGCTTCAACTAGTTTTAATTGAGCTCCTACCACTTGTATCTAAAAAGAGGGTAAGCAAAGTGACCATGTGTTCACACTATACTGTCAAGTTGGTACTGTAAGAGAG